AAATCCACAAAGGTTGGATCCTATCCTCTCACCCCTCTCTCGCCGGGAGGAGAAATTGAGCATACCTCGCCTCGGGATGCTGTGGTGTGGCACGACGACGACCTCGCGGCGGCGTCCTCTTCGTCTCCAGAGCAAGCGACTTGGAGGGAGAGAGGGCGACGGAGTTGGCGGGAGGGAGGAAAAGTGTCTGCGGTTGAGCTATGGACGATGCCTTCACATCGTCCAGGCCTGGACATTGTGGAGGTGGATTTAGAAGATGTGCATGTTTGGACATCCATTTACACAAGCTGTTGGAGCTCCATTTTGGGCTCACATTGTGAAAAAGTACTATAGACAATGGTATAGACAAACTATTGGAGATGCTCTAAGACATGGTATGAACAAAGAGGATGAATGGTGTCCCCTAATGTGGGCTCACTTTATTTTTTTTATTGCTGTCACACCTTATGTCGCACAGATAAACATTGAGGGCTCACTTTATTTTTATTTTCTTCTATTGTTTATTGTGTGCACCCTCAATGTGTGCACTAGGCCTTGATAGCATGTCGTTGCAGAGGATGGATATGGTTGACACTCAATGTGTGCAACGACATGCTAGGCATGTCGCTGCTTATATGTTGCGCGTTATTGTCTACTTGGCTCACTTTATTTTATTTTTTTATTGTTTATCTGCGTGCATCCTCAATGTGTGCACCAGGCCTTGATAACATGTCGTTGCAGAGGATAGATATGGTTGACACTCACTCCGTCCTGAATTACTTGTCGTAGAATTTCTGCAACAAGTAATTCGGGGCGGAGGGAGTATTTATGTATTGCCCTTTTCCAATAAAGCAAAAGACATGATAAAAAAGAAGTGTACAGCCAAAATCGCTTGTTTCTTACCAAGTGAGGAGGAAAGAAGTACAGTAACTGGTTCTGAGAGAAACCGACAGTTACATGATACCAAAGGAATGGGCGTGTATTCAGTATTTTGCCATCATAGTTAACTCACATCGCACGACGAATAAAGTTCTTTTGTCAGTCTCGTTTCAATCTGATCTCCATGGGCATGCCCATCGTGTTGTGAGATGATGGAAGGACAGGGCCTCATCTTGCATGATGTTGGTGGCAACAGTAAGAACAACTTGAGGTTTTTTTTTTCTTTGCGAGCGAGGCCAAAATTCAGTGTACAGTGGCGTCGTAGGTGCTACGTCTACATGCATACGTCGCGTTGATCGAACAGCGGTCCCTGTCAGTCACCATCCATCCATCCATCCATTCAGTGTACTAGTTATTAGGTCAATGACTCTGTTAGATGTGTTGATGGACTTTGTTCATGCTGGGCCTGTGTTGGTCCTTTTGGCCGGTTTCAATCGTCTTGTGTAATGCTGTGAACCTGTTTTGTGCTGCCTGTCCTTCGAATTCTGTAAGCCTGGTTTTCAGTAATGAAAATCGGAAGGGAAAAGCCCTTCTTTGATAAAAAAAGATTGATTTACACGCACTGCATTCTCGGAGACCGGAGTGCTACATTCATCCACCGGGAAAGAACAAAAGAATGTCAAATCCAAAAAAAAAAGTGTATACGAGCGAGGCCAAAATGCAGTGTACGGTGGCGTTGTAGGTGCTACGTCTACATGCATACGTCGCGTTGATCGAACAGCGGTCCCTGTCAGTCACCACCATCCATCCATCCATCCATCCATCCATCCAGGCAGGCAGCTTCCGTCGCGCCATGGCGGCCCGTCCGATCCACTTGAGCAACACGAGACGACGAGAGGACCGACTGCAGCGAGTCCAAAAGCGTCGCTGTGTGGCCGGAATCTTTCGCCGGCCTACGGCTAGCCGCCCACTCCACCCGCACTCCTCGTGGCCAATCGATCCACCCATCAGCCGCGCACCGCCATGCCACCGCGGCCTCACCTAGTACCACGGACGACGCCCCGTCATCTGATCGCGACGCCGATCGCATGACGGCACTGCGCTCGTCGCCCGCACGCTCCTTCACGGGTAAGCCAGCGCCCGATCGGTGCAAGAAGACAAATCGCCGTGTCGACCGCCCGCCCGATCACCTTCGCCGCCAAGAAACCGATCGTGCGTCCGTCCACCATAAGTAGGGTCGAGGTCTCGGCCTCGCGTCGATCACCACCAGATACTTGCTTCCATCTTCCATCTCGTTTCAGTTCTGGGTTCTGGCTGGCACGGAGAGAACAGAGAAGAAGAAGAGAAGAGCTCGAGCTAGCCCGCCGGAGATGCGAGGGATGGAGGGGGCGGCGGCGGGGGTGTGGGGCGGGCTCAACTCCGGCGTGGTGCTCAGCCTCATCGCGGTGCTGTGGACGGTGGTGTGGCAGAACCTGCAGCACCTGCAGCTGCAGCACTTCTTCAAGCGCCACCTCGGCCGCCACGCGCGCCGCCTCGCCGCCCTCGTCGACCCCTACCTCTCCGTCACCATCGCCGAGTACGACGGCGGCCGGATGCGCCGCGCCGAGGCCTACGAGGAGGTCAAGGCCTACCTCGCCGCGTCCACCTCGCGCAGCGCGCGCCACCTCCGCGCCGAGGGCGCCCGCGACGCCGACCGCCTCGTGCTCAGCATGGTCGACGGCGAGGAGGTCTCCGACGCGCTGCTGCCCGAGGAGGGCGGCGGGACCGTCTTCTGGTGGGCCTACTCCCGCCCGCCGCCGCAGCAGGACCGGCGCTGGGGCGGCGGAGGCGGAGGCGGGGACGAGGAGAACCGCCGCTTCTACCGCCTCTTCTTCCTCGACCGCCACCGCGACCAGGTCCTCAACGCCTACCTCCCGCGCGTCCGCCGCCAGGGACGCGCCGTCATGGTGCAGAACCGCCGCCGCAAGCTCTTCACCAACATCTCCACGCACCAGTTCAGCGACGGCGGGTACACGCGCTCCGCCTGGACGCACGTGCCGTTCGAGCACCCCAAGACGTTCGCCACGCTCGCCATGGACCCGGCCAGGAAGAAGGAGGTCATGGACGATCTCGACGCCTTCAAGGCCGGCAAAGAGTGGTACGAGCGCGTCGGCAAGGCGTGGAAGCGCGGCTACCTTCTGCACGGCCCGCCGGGGACGGGCAAGTCGGCCATGATCGCCGCCATGGCCAACCACCTCGACTACGACGTGTACGACATCGAGCTCACCTCCGTGCACTCCAACACCGACCTCCGCAAGCTCTTCATCGGCACCACCAGCAAGTCCATCATCGTGATCGAGGACATCGACTGCTCCCTCGACCTCACCGGCGCGCGCCCCAAGAAGAAGGACGCCGCCGCCGAGGACGAGGACAAGGCCAACAAGGGCGACAAGAAGGGCGCGGCCGACACGAGCAGCAAGGTGACGCTGTCGGGCCTGCTGAACTTCATCGACGGGCTGTGGTCGGCGTGCGGCGGCGAGCGGGTGATCGTGTTCACCACCAACCACCTGGAGAAGCTGGACCCGGCGCTCATCCGGAGGGGCCGCATGGACAAGCACATCGAGATGTCCTACTGCCGCGGCCCGGCGTTCGAGTTCCTGGCCAAGGCCTACCTGGGCGTGGAGGATCACGAGCTGTTCGGCACTGTGGGCGCGCTGCTGCAGGAGGTGGACATGACGCCGGCGGACGTGGCCGAGAACCTGACGCCCAAGAGCGCGGACGACGACGCGGGCGCGTGCCTCAGGGGGCTAGTGGCGGCGCTGGAGAAGGCCAGGGACGACAAGGCCAGCGGCGGCGGCCAGGAGAAGCAGCCGGAGGAAGAGGACGGGGGAGTGGTTGCCGCCGTTGACAAGGAGTGATCGATGGAGCGAGCGAGTCAGAGTAGCTCAGGATCAGGATATCATCATGTGTCAGACACATTTTCTCCCTATTTGTTATTGGAGATGACGTTTATTTCTAGCAAGTAATGATGACGCTTAGAATAATCAGACCCAGATTGGATGTTGGCGGG